CCTAAGGTTGTTTTCTGAAATCACTTTCAGATGTTCTGCAATCACTTACGCCTTGTTTTAAAACACAAATTTCCTCTGCACTTCAATGCAGTACTAACTTTACTATTGAAAACAAGCGAAAGCCAGTCACTTTGTCCCGACGTCTGGTATTCTATAATCAATGTCCTCTTGTCGCTGGTTGTCCCTCAAATGGCACCAGGCTCATCACCATTGTTAAGAATAGGACCTGATATGAACCCTGGGCGCATCATGGAAGATTTACGACAGTATGCAGTCAATCAAAAACTACTGGACTTTCAGGAGGTAATGCTGATATTCAGTTCAAGATTAATTGCAAAAATTCATCAAATTACTAAAATACCTGCCTTTTAACACTTATTCTTCTTGGTCATGTTCCAGTTGTTGGATACAGCTGCTGTTCTTGCAAGTCATTTCAACCGTGAACGTCTACAATATGGTCTTTATGGATTGTACCCAAAGTATAGAGTTTATGTAGATGCTTTGGCAATTTTCTTAGGCTTGATAGGTCATACCTTGGTTGTTAGCACTCTTCAAACTGGGCGAGGCATGGCATCTAACAAACGTGAGTCTTCTCATTTTGCCATATTAAAGTTATACTTGTAATCCAAGCTTATTAAAACAACTCCTCAATTACTAAATTTTTAGTAGTGGAGCAGCTATGGCCAACTGTCTCCGCAATGTTCTTCCCCTGGATTGCTCCGTATTGGACTGATCAGTTGACTGAACCAACTGCAGCTTGGATTCAGCAACTCACTGATGACCGATCAGTTTTGCCTCCATGGATAGTTGGAGATGCATCATATGCACAACGTATTATGGGAACATTTGTAGAAGTCATGAGATTTGTTTTAGATACACTGCCAGGTAACTTAATTTTCTAGCTTTTTGTGCTTACAGTATTACCTTAGTGTTGTTAGGGTATAAAAATTGATGATGATCTTTAATTTCAGCCAGCAGTAATCTCTTGGGCTTCATATGGCAGTTTTATGTGTCTCATTTTGCCCACACTGCAATCAAAGAACATACTTTGACTGTTGTTCACACTAACCTACTCACGTTGCCCTGGATGCGATTTTGGCCAGCTCCCTCCCATCTAGATCTAATGCTCAAGGTAATACATTTAACAATTGGAATTGCAGAAATTAATGCCATCTACCTTGTTCTTATAGATTTTCTCTCTTGCTGGTTTAATGACTGTCTAGGTGGTAGACCAATACTTACCTGACTGCCATGCTTTTCTTGGCGTACTTTTTATTGAAATCCCCTGGAACCAATGGCTAGCCCAGGCAAGTGTTTCTGAACCACCAATGGTAGTTGTTCGCCTTCACACCTGTCTTTTGCATTTGTTAGTAAAGCTTGCCAATGAGCCTAGCGTACGTCAGGTAAGTTAAAATGTCTTTGCATACATGTATGTTACTGAACGAATCGTCATTAAACACTTTTTTAACTAACTAACTTTCAGTCAGGAAAAATTTTGTCTCTCTTAGTTGAGGCTCGTAAACTTGCTTGGCACCTATTAGATGCCCATGCTTATGAGCCAGTTGTGAATTGGTACGTGATGAGTGTTGATCCTCGGGCAATTTTGCGAGTAGAAGACCAGGAGGGAAGTGCTATAGACAGTGCTGTTATATAGTAAGGTTTATTTTTATTTGGTGTATTTATTTTTTTATTTTTTTGGACTGTAAATGTTGCCATACTTTACCAATTAGAACTGCATCTTTTTCAGTTTATTGCAAGTAGCTGCTGGATACACTGTTAGCACCACTCAATTCCATTCCTCAACACTTCGCAAAAGACAAATGTTTGTTCGTGCCGGAGTGAGAGTTCTTGTAACATGTGCAAGCAAGTATAAGGCAATGTTAAGTTCAAATAAACAGGACTTCTGTGATGCAATCCAACGCATGTTAGATGATATTGAAGTAGTTGTTGCTGCCAGTAAGTACAAAAAATGGTGCTTTGGTACCACAGTTGGGCGGACTTTAATGCAATTTATTTAATGTTTACAGCTGTGCCACAACCACAACAGGTTCCTGAAGCAGGTTTACTCGTGACAGAACTACTTGGAGCAGTTAATCAGCCACCAGGCAGTGTTTTGGGGACAATGGCTCTTGAGAGTTGTGTTTCTTGGCTATCAGCTCTTGGTTCTGTACCTGGGTCACAACGTCAAAGTGTTGTTGTGGTTCCTTCATTACTTAAAGTTGTAGGAATCTCTGTAAATGACTCTACAGCTCTTGGCTCTTTACTTGAAGCAACATTTGAAGCTTACTTTAATATTAGTGCAGGTCAGTGTCAGTACTGATGTACATTCTCTTTAGGCAACATTCCTTTCTATTACTACTTTTATCATCACACTGTGTAATTTTATAAATATGTATATACACTTTTTGTTATTTAGGTGATGAAGGACAAAATCATTGGGCAAGTGCTGTATGTCTACTGCAGCCTACTATCCCACGTCAACCACCCACAGAAGAAGTTTTAATTTCAAATGGACATATGTTGAGTCTCCATGGTCTTCTTCTTCTTCAGCTTCAGTCTTGCCGTGACATAAGGGAAGAGGCAATTTTACTGGCAAGTCTTTCCACATGGTTGAACTGTGTTCGCCCTACGTAAGTTCCTTTATCTTACACCTTAATATAAAGAAAAACTATTTATCTCTTTCAAACCTCAACAATCTCTGAGATTGCATGTTCAGAAGTTAGTAATTTTTTTTGCAGGGAACAGTTGGAATCAAAACTTCCTCTCCTGTGGTGCCAAGTTTTACACCTAGCACACAGACAGATTTCTCAATCTGGTGATCGCAACACTGCGGCTTCTAGCCTACATCAACTAGTTCAACATGCAGAGACAGTTGCAGATCATAAAGCAGGAGGTTGGGGCTTACTCAGTGCCATTGGAATTGGCAAACAACTATCTGTATCACCAAGGTGAAGCTTACTATATATCTATCTAACTTTAGGATGTTAGTTGGTTTGACTGATGATCTAACTTTAAGATGTGGGGGGGCCTTAAACATGCATGAAGCAATGAATGAAGCGATGATCAAGGCTTCTTTTTCATACCAGCATGTTTTTCTGCGTTTTATAGGTGTCGTCTTTTGTGCCGTTTTCTTTGTGCCTACGTGTCTGCCCAGTTGCCTGAGAGCAAGATAGACAACAATTGTGTTAGGTGTGCTCCAAATTCTCCTGGTTCCATAACAAATGGTCCTAATACTAGGTACGTAAGTCCTTGTTGTCTCAACTTCCTGAGCAAATATTTGTTGTATCTTATATGTTTAATGCTTTTTAAAAAATTATATGTCCAATGAAAGCATGGTTTTAAATTACAGATCAGACCCAATGATAGACATCCATCCATCTCAAGATGCTCTTAAGAATCTTTCTGCTTTAGAGGGTTTATTGACCAACAAAATATATGCTGGTGTTAGATCATGTGTAGAAGCATCAGTAATTTATGTGCGAAACCCAGAAAATTCTCTCCACAATGCAGGAGAGATTCTACAAGTTCTCTCCAAACAATTGTATACTGAAAGATACCTGCATACCACTCTTGATGTTCCAAGGACAAATACTGCATAAAGATTTGATGTGCTACTTAACTTTTTCTTTTTGCACTGAAGTAAGAATTTTATTGCAAGAAATGTGCCATTTTTATTATTTTGTTGCTTTATTTTGGTTATTATTAATGTACATGTGTTCCCCCCCCCCCCCCTTTATTCTTTCTTTTTCTACTTGTGTTACCCATCTTACTTTGCTGAATTATTTTTAATAGTTTTTTCTCCTCTTTCTTGTTCCTGAAGTAGTTTGTGCACTTAATATCCTTACCTTTACACTGAGCTGTGATAAAACAATTAATTCAAGAAAAAAATTCCTGGCGCTTATCTTCTGTTGTTTGAAGCTGTGATATTTTTGTTCAACCGTGGACCCATGTTGTCACTCGCTCTAAGTCATAAAATAAGAAATCGTTATCGATCATTCTAATTCTAATTGTTCTAATTGTTGCGATTAAAGGTTTATCCTCACACTCATGACATCGAGTTCTTAATCCCGATTTGAATCTCCCTCCTCACAACGTTGGTCAGCCTTGCGCAACTGTTGACGCACGCAGAAGCACGCAGCTCTGCCTTCTGCTCTTGTGCTGCCCACACACACACGCACGCGATCGCGCAGCTGTTCTCGCAGCACATACAGCTCATGACTTAACCCTCATTCCTGATAGTTTTACCGCAATAAGCAATTTTTAGAATGGCTCCAAAGAAAGGGAAGGGAAACAAGAAGGACCTCGATTTTGGCAGTGATGACGAAAATACGAAGAATACTTCAGATAAGGGAAAGTCGGTGGCCGGCGTAGAAATAGAAGGGGTAACCTCCAAATCGAAACAATCTGCTCCAGCTCCCAAGAAGAAAGGTAAAGGTAAATCTAAGAAAAATGATGATTGGAGTGATGACGATGAGAAAATTGAAAAGCTGTCGAAGCTTGGGCAAGTTTCTGACGATGATGAAGTTTTGAACATCGCCCAGCCATCAAAGAAAAAAGCTGGAAAGCAGATAAAGAAGAAAGCTGACAGCAGCAGTGAGGAAAGTGAAGATGACTCAGAAATGAGCAGTAAACCATCAAAGGCAGCACCTAAAGCCAATGTTAAAAAGAAGAGCAAACAAGTTAAAAAGGGGGATGATTGGAGTGACAACAGTGATGAGATGAAACTCAGCAATTCTGCGGAGGAAGATGTTCCTAAGCCAGCAACTAAGAAAGGTAAAAATAAAAAGGGGAAGTCGAAAGTAGAGACTGACAGTGAAAGTTCTGATCAAGTTGACGATGAAGTGGAAGATGAACCTGAACCCCAACCTGTTAAAAAAGGAAAGTCAAAAACTGTCGCCCCCTCAACGAAAGATGTGGACAGTGAGGTTGATGATGGGGTTGGTGATGAACTTACTGACAAAGTTGCAGAATTGTCAGTGCAGGAACATACTAAACTCACAACTGCTTCCACTGATAAAGGAGATTGTGGTTTGGGCGAAGAGGAGGACCCAAGTGAAGAGAAAGATAAATTGAAAAATGAAGACAGTAATAAGCCAGCTGGTAAGTGACCTAGTTCCTATACCTTAGGACAACTGAACCTAATTCAGATCAGAACATTATAATTGTAATTTATCAATTTATCTCATGCTGACACCTCAAGAGTATGAGATAAGGGCAATCAGTGAGCGCAGCGTTTAAATTTAATTTCCAATGACTGAAAGATATATGTACCTGGTTTTGATGGGAACTTATTTTTACTGATCTGAATTTGGCCCACATGCTCCTATCCTGAATCAATAAGCTAATTATTAGAGGAGGTGTTGGATTAAAATGGCCCTTAAAACAATGGCTGCATAACATCCACTAAAATTTGTAGAACTAGGTTGCGGGCTAAACCTATGATTACTGGGCCAATTTGGATATCCTTGGTATAGCCACTTTCACTGCTTGGTGTTCTTAGTTTCTGTTTCTGCAAGTTAAAAGCATTTGAGTCGCGCGCGGCCTCAATATGGACGGCACCCCATGCAATTGCTCTGGGATTCAAGGTCCTAAGTAGGAAATCCAGCAGTGGATTTTCAAGGCATCTGTCAGACCATGGAGAAGGACTGTAATGAGTCCTTCTCTTCTCCCAGCTGTGGCCCCACAAGCTGGTTATAAAGTATACCGTATATCTGGATATAGTAGTAACCGACAACATACTGAGACCGTGGTCTTGAGCGATTCTTACTGACTAACCAAGTTTAAGTTTATCGTATCTCTCTCTCTCTCTCACTTAGGCTTGTTCAGATTGCAGCATCTGAAATTAATTTGTTCTATTGCTCACGTTTCAGAAAAGAAAATGACTAGCAAAGAAAAAAAGAAATTGAAGAAAAAGGTTTGTGCTTTTGCATTTATGATTTATATAATGTATTGATTCATAATATGTATTCTGAGCCTAAACTTTTTTTTCAGATTGAGTTTGAGAAGCAGATGGAACATATCACTAAGAAAGGAGGACAAGGACACAGTGATCTTACTGAAAATTTCACTGTATCTCAAGCACAGAAATCAACGGGCCAGTTGGCTGCTATGGAAAATTCAGTTGATATTAAGGTTGAAAATTTTAGCATATCGGCCAAGGGTAATGATTTATTTGTCAATGCCAACCTACTTATCGCCCAAGGGCGTCGTTATGGTCTGGTTGGACCAAATGGGTAGGTCAATAATTTTGATTCTTACTATTAAAAACATCAGCAATTTATGAATCTCTCGCATCATGAAAATGAAATGTATTTTCATGAAATCAATTCATTTTTTGTCAAAAGCACACACAGCATTTTCCAGAATATTTTATTGGATATTTCTGATTTTTACAGTCATGGAAAGACCACGCTCTTACGACACATTGCCTCACGAGCATTTGCAATACCGCCTAATATAGATATATTATATTGTGAGCAAGAAGTTGTAGCTGAAGATGCCTCTGCTGTGGAAGTTGTATTAAAAGCTGACACCAAAAGAACCACCTTGTTAGAGGAACTTAAGAAACTGGAGGAATCACCAGAAGCTGGCACCCTTGCCGGCCAGGAAAGGCTTAAGGAGGTAAGACTAGACAGTATATTTGTATCTCACTGCTAATTTGGGTACTCTCACTTACTCCTCGGGTTCTTTCAGATTTATGATGAGCTCAAAGCTATTGGTGCTGATTCAGCTGAACCTAGAGCTCGGCGTATTCTAGCAGGTTTAGGATTTTCACGCTCTATGCAAGATAGACCAACAAACAGTTTCTCTGGTGGTTGGCGTATGAGAGTATCTCTAGGCAGAGCTCTTTATGTAGAACCCACGTTATTGCTGCTTGATGAACCGACTAACCACTTGGATTTAAATGCTGTCATCTGGCTTGACAAGTGAGTGAGTGCTTCATTGAGTTGTTTTTATTTCATGTCTTACATCTTGATTATCACCCTGTCTTTTGGTTTAGTTATCTTCAAGGCTGGAAGAAAACTTTGTTGATTGTTTCTCACGACCAGAGCTTTTTGGATAATGTTTGCTCAGAAATTATTCATCTTGATCAGCACAAGCTACATTACTACAAAGGCAACTATTCAATGTTCAAAAAAATGTATGTGCAGAAGCGTAAAGAAATGATTAAGGAGTATGAAAAGCAAGAAAAGCGCATAAAAGAACTGAAAGCTCATGGTACTTCCAAAAAGGCAGCGGTAAGACTTGCTTCCTTTTCTAATCTCATCTGTTCAGATGTCTTTTATTTTGCACTGCTCTCAATTTTTAACTTCTACAGGAAAAGAAACAAAAAGAGGCTCTTACACGGAAGCAGGAAAAGAATAGAACCAAGGTACAGAAACTTGAGGATGAAAATGCTCCAGTTGAACTCCTTCAAAAGCCTAGAGAATATATTGTTAAATTCTCATTCCCTGAACCTCCACCTCTGCAACCTCCAATTCTTGGTCTCCATAGTAAGTTTGCTGGCATGTATTCTGTTTATTATATTGGAGGTTTGCTGTTTATTTATCTACAATGAATTAACTCTATTTCAGATGTAACATTTGCATACCCAGGACAGAAACCGCTCTTTGTCGATTGTGAATTTGGAATTGACTTGAGCTCTCGTGTAGCTATTGTTGGTCCTAATGGTGTTGGAAAGTCAACATTTTTGAAACTTTTAACTGGTGATCTAGATCCTTTAAAGGGAGATGTAAAGAGAAATCATAGATTAGTAAGTTAATTTAAACTGACCTTCTGCATTCTTTTTAATTTGTAGCTGTATTATTACAATCTGAAAAAATTTGTCTCAACAGCATATTGGTCGCTTTGACCAGCACTCTGGAGAACATCTCACTGCAGAGGAAACACCTTCAGAATATCTTATGAGACTTTTTGATTTGCCCTATGAAAAAGCTCGCAAGCAGCTTGGTACCTTTGGTCTTTCAAGTCATGCTCATACTATAAAGATGAAGGATTTATCTGGAGGTCAGAAGGCTCGAGTTGCCCTAGCTGAGCTATGCTTAAATGCTCCTGATGTTGTTATTCTAGTAAGTGAATCATTTCTTTTTCTGTCTAATATTTACCTCATATATCCTACTAGAATTGTGGAAGATAACATATGTGTTTGTTCTAGGATGAGCCTACCAATAACTTGGATATTGAATCTATTGATGCTCTGGCTGATGCTATTAATGAGTATCAAGGAGGTATGTTTTTATTTTAATTTTTTAAAAATTAATACATGCTTTTAATAGTGGTTGAGATAATTGTATTAATCCATTGAAATTGATTTAAGGTGTTATCATTGTCTCCCACGACGAGCGCCTTATTCGTGATACAGAGTGTACCTTGTGGGTCATTGAAGATAGGACTATTAATGAAGTTGATGGAGATTTTGACGATTATCGTAAGGAACTTCTAGAAAGTTTAGGAGAGGTAATTAATAACCCTAGTATTGCTGCTAATGCTGCTGTCTCTCAATAAAACCTTATGTTGTGTTCTCTCAACAAACCGTCTCCATGATAACAATAACAAAGTACTTCTGGGGCCAAAAAATAAAACCTTCTATTGTTGTGGAGCTGAGCCATTTAAGATGTTTTTCTGTTTATTTCTTTATGTACTAAAAAAATATGAGAAAATATTCAATTTTGAACGTTATTGTTACTTACTGTTAGTCACTTCAATTATGTTTGTTCACCTAATTGGATGTTATCATTTTATGATCTGTAAAATATTACTGTATTTTGTTAATACAACTACTTATCTAAGAAACACCAGTGTCTCCCCACCTTTTCGTGCCTACTCATTATTGAGTTATTTATAATTGGTTTTCTGAGGTAAGCAATAACAATTCTGTCACAGTTTTTAGGTTATCATCAATATGTAACTCTTGTAAGATCTACAGTTTTATGAATTATTTTGGGATTGAGGGTTAATTTTATTTAATGGTCCTTCATTTTGTCATCATTGCCAGATTGTAAAGTGAAAGGAAGGATTATGAATGAGCTTAAGTTGTCAACTGGTATGTGAGCAAATAAACTTAATTGCTTCCTTCAATGCCTTTATTTAATGCATTCCAACCAGTCCAGTTTTTGGCCATGAATTGCTTTCCAGGATTTGTAAATATTTGACAACGGGGGCTATACGACATATTTTTTTCTGTTTATATGCCTACCCTGAAAGTTTGCCCTGTTTGTTGCTACGGCAACCATGATTGTTATGTTGTGATCGGTTATCAACTTAACTTCAATTGCATCAGTGAAAAGAATGCTAGCTAACCGTCAACCACCACCAAATAGAGACACTCTCCATCCAAAGATACGTTCTAGCATTCTTAGAATCCTCTCAAAAAAGTTAAGTGTGCAATCCGAAATTGTTAACACAACAGCCGAAGATATAGCTTTAAATGCAGTCATCTTGGAGTATTTGGATTGGATTGGTTTCCGACAAACCGCTGATATGTTCAGAAGAGAGACAAAAACTCCTAATTCCATGGTAATCAGTGAGGGAAAATGTTTGTCCAACATGGTAAGAGAAAAATTACAACCTAGCCCAGTAGATGATGAACTTCCTGTTATATTCTCTATCATTTTCAAAATCAAGAATAGAAATAGTCTGTCAGTTACTGATAAGTCTATTATATGAAGATGTCTATATAAGTAGTAATAAATGACACTGGAACACACTGGATCAATAGTATGTATTTATTCCGATTGTATTTAAACTTAAACATGTTATGTAGTTCAAATTTTACTTGAACTTGCTTCAGTTGAATATGAAGTTCTTTGGCATTTAACTATCACAATAAACTTAAAGGAATGAAAAGTCTGTGAAGCAACTGCAAGGGATTCACAATTATTTATTTTTATTACTACACCTCACAAGCACCTGATGCAGTCATAGCTATTGTTCGCTTTACATCAGTAACCTGGTCCACATCCTGTCTCTCACTGTCTCTCTCCTCTTTGCTAAGAGCTGCATAAAAATCCACCTTCTCTTGAGTGTACTGGAAAGATGGAAAAACTGTTCCATAAGATTGTCTCCCACTTGAAAGGAGACTGTCTTCATCAGCATCATGCAAAACACCTAAGTCACAGACTCCATTGGAACTGACACCACTGTCACGACTGCAGCATTTAGAATCGGAACCCCTATGGTGGATGTGGGAAAAGGCATCACGAGTGCAGAAGAAAACAAGTATAAAAATGGCCTGATAAAAACAGTAAAAAATGATTAGTTTAGGAAAATTTTTGTAGTACAGAACTTATTTAAAAAAACATTTCTCTTCACAACTTACTGTGAAGAATGTTGCTCCAGCCATAACAGTGGCACAAATAGGAAATCCATAAACTTGTAAGAGAAATCCCCCCAATAAAGGTCCGGTTACTTCACTGAAAGAGGGGAAAATGAATCAGATCACAATACTGAGAAAGTGAAGTTTAGGAAAGAGAAGATATACTTACCCCAAAGAGTACATGCAGGCCCACACACCAGCCACCAAACTGTGAGTGGAAAGCTCATCTACACATCCTCCATCCCTAAGGACATAAAACAAAATAAAAAAATAAAACAAATAGTAGCAGCTGTTATGAAGTTAAAATACTATAAGTGGCAAAGTGCGAAATATTTCAACCAAAACTACAATAACATCTAGTATTTAATGGAATAAAAGACAAGGACACTAGTTAATTTGATGACTTGTACTCACACGGCAGAGTCAAGAAGGCCTTGAAACGTTGGAAGTAGAGTAAGAGCCATCGCCACACCGAGGATGGAAAGGGCCAGGAGGTTCAGCCATAGTGTGTTAGGTAGAAAAGCAAAGAGAGGGAATGGTCCTAGTAAAACAAGGCCCACTGTGCACAGCAACAGACCAATCACCATGAGACTCCAGTGGTGATTTACTCGATCCGAAAGTAGACCCCATATTGGACTAAAGATGGCATACAGTCCAGAGGTCAGCAGGAACACCAAACCCAATTGGTCAGCACTTAATGAGAACTGCAAAGAAATTTGTTTATGTAACACATTCGCATTGGGAACCAATTATGATTGAAATATAGTAACAACAAAACAAACCTGTCGAAGGTGAGGCTCTAATGTTGGATCAAGAAATCCCCATGTATTAGAACCAACTACAATGACTAGGCCGGTAACCAAAACAGATGGTACTTTCAACAGTTGCCATAATGAACTACTTGACTGATCAACTCCGAAACCTTAAAAATTAAAACAATATAAGAAATACATAAAATAATATTTTTTAAAAAATATGAAATTTGGGGTTGGGCCTATATTAGAAATGGTTTCAAATGATCATGAGACTTACCAGATTCTGAAGGAAGCAAGCAGAAGTTGATTGGCACAAAAACCACCATAAAAACCCCCAGAGAGTAGAATGGCAAGCCAAAGCCTCCCAGCTAAACAACAAAGCATTGGACACAGCAGAAAATGTAAAAGATTTCACAAAAATAACTATTACAATAAAAAGAGGGTGAAAGTGACAAGAAAGTTACAGTGCGGAACAGTTGCAAATATTTAAAATGTGTTTTGCTTTCAAATGCTACATGCAGTACTTATAGGTAGATAAATAAATAAGCAAATATAAAGAACTCCCTAATGTTTTTGCCAGCATCATAGATACACTGTAATTATTTTATTATTTGAGACTATTCAGAAAGTGTGAAAATACAAAAATGGAAAGGTGTTTCTTTCTAAGGAAAAGTGGGAAGCTTTTATGTTACTGCAGGTTAGAGGATTTAAAAAGAAATAATGATTGCCAGCAGAAGAGAAGTCTGGTTATATGTCGACCCTGATGCACATTGTAATGTATTAATGGTACAGTTGAAGTACCCCAAGAATAATTTGAGAAATTTTAAAATTTGAATTCATCAATACATAACTTGAAGTTCTATGAAGTGCAAGGCAAGTACAAGTGTCTTAGGTCTTTCCCAAAATTCTAATTAAATTGTAAATGTTACGAATAATGACACTACCCAATTCTCATTACCCCTGGTCCTACATTAACATACTTCCAGAAAAAATACATCACTATACTGTACTTTGATTATAGAGGTAAATATAGGAGGATTAAGAATAGCCAAAAACATTACACTGCTCTATCATCAAGAAAAGAGAAAAAGTTCCCAGTGATGTATAAGAAATTTTAAAATGCACTTGGAAGTATGCCTTAGGGATTTAAGTATTAATTACACTTACTGTGTATAATAGTCCTCCTATTGCTGGTCCTGTGCTCATGCCCAGACCTACAAAGGTCTCCAAAATACCCTGGAAAAAGTTTAGAAAAATCAGAAATACACGTTACAAGCAGCTTTAACTCTGCTACCAGCAGTAACTAACCATAACAGCTCCAATGTTGTCAGGAAAAATTTGAGCAACAAAAACATATGATGCTGTAGTAAAGGCACTCGCCCCAATTGCTTCCATGCCCCGAACAAGGAAGCAAAACACAACAAATGTGTTCTGATCAACAATGTGAATGAGAGCTCTGCAAAAAAAGTTGTTAAAATACAAGCCTTAGCCTTAAAAATTGTACACAAATGCAGAGTACTATCATACTTACCCAAATAGAATAGAGCAGCAACCAGCTAAAAACATTCCCGACATAAAGAGAAATCTTGGACCAACAGTAGGCAACTATAAATTTAGAGGAAGAAGAACTCTCTTTATTTAAGTAAAATTACCAGGTTCCGTTATGTTAGAAGTTAAATGATTAAATTCAAAATAAAAGACTTACTATTTTCCCAAATATAGGAGAAGAAACAAATATTACCAATGCATAAAACCCAAACACAAACCCAGAGAGTGATTCACTCATTCCTTTTAAGGATGCCTATGAAAGAAAAACTATCCTGTTAAATCTCGTCAGTAATGGTTTCCTCAACATTCAAGTATGTGGTTATAATTATAAGTAGTTATGGTTTGCACTGCAAAATACTTACTTCTTTAGGGAAAAATGGGGCCATTATAGACATTGAACAAAAGCTTATAAAATCTACAAGAACAAGAGATGTTAGCACAAGCTTTTGTTGGTAAGAGAAATTTCTAATAGATGTTGTGGCGACAGTAGCCTGAACACTGGGAGCTTCCAGACGATATTGAGAAATCTACAAAAAAAAAATTATCATGTTTGACAAGGCATTACACACTTGCAAAAAATATTCATAAGAGATTTTTCTTTTACAAAACTGTCTTAGACAAGTCAGAATTTTTACCTCATCTCTATGATTTTGATTAAGTTGATGAGTCGACAATGAGAGGCTTCGAGCATATGGTCTAGGATGGGAAGTGTATGAAATTTTTCGCTTTCTGGATCGAGATCTCCTACCAGAAGTGTGCTCGACACCCCTCTCCCTTCTGTGCAGATTCTGTTTCCTCTCATTGCTTTCCATTTCTCTACAAACAAAAGAAACAAGCCCGCTGGTGGTTAAGACATTTATAATCAAAAGAATACTTGTAACTGTGGCCATCATACAATACGATGCAAATATTAACAATTACATTATTTGGGAGTGATATGTGCTCCGATTATATCTCAAATTGGTCGATAAGCCTCTACATGTAAATACAACACCTCGCACCCGACCGCGATATCATATCAGACGTGCTGGTCAGGTCGAGGAGAGCTCTGCTAGCAGCGGTGGTTCTCAAGTTCTTTAATAGTCCGAAGTTCGGAGAGCGTTGGCACCCTATCTCTCCGCTGCGGGGCCGAGGCACACTGAGCGGAGCGTCCGCCGGCCCGGCCGTCGCTGTCACCGGTGCCGCCTCGCCTTATCTATTATTATCTATCACGCACCCGCATACCCGCACACAGTGGCGACGATTGGCGATTGAAGGGATAGACAGATTGGGGGAGGCAGAGAAAGGTTAGATGAGCCCAAGGGTGGACCGGGGCGCAGGTGCGACTATCCTGCGACCCCGTTGAAATAAAATATAGTACGCATGACAGAAGAGTAATTAGTGAGTTTGGGCGAAGAAAGGAGCAAGTTACGAGCGCGCTACGCGGGTAGTACGCGGTAGAGTACGCGGTAGAGCGGCCGTGGCCGTGACCGCGGTGAACCCCGCGTAGCAGACGACTCACTGAACACTGAACCGCACGGCGCTACGGCACACGGCACGGCACGGGTTTAAGTTACGGGGTTACATAACTTCAGCGCCGTGGGTTGCTGCGAAAGAACTACGAATCGAACGATGCGATGCCTCAGGGTCGGAAGTGCGATGGTCTGGAACGTTTGTCTATTTGTCTTTCCGGAGAAATTATCAACAGTCATTCCGGGAAACGCAAAAAAAGAAGACCAGCTTCTTGTCGTTTTCAAAAACACACGGAATGCGCGCGGTGTGCGAGGGGTGCCCAACGCACTGTTGCCAACACAACAGCAGCAAAAATATGATGATTAGAAAACCGTGTGATCACTTAGGGTAATTTTCTTTGATAACAAGTTATTCGTGCCTTATTTTATTCGGATTCTATAAAAAGATGTACATTTACAATTAGTTCTCTGGTTGCCTTTCCTAATCGATGAACGGCAGCGATCTAATCCAACTACACTCCCCTTTTAGAACATTATTTAATGTTTCATTAGTTAATTAGCTGGCACATGTTAATAGAAAATAGTTTTATACGTGGGAAAATTTTACAGATGGCCCGAAAAACAGTGTCAGGTCGATAAGGACAGGAGGACATATATTTTTTTTAATGGGTAAATCTCTCTGTTGCCTAGGGTAGTGGGCTTCAGTACAACGTGACCTTTTCAAGGTCTATTCTGTCCGCCTCTCTTCCGTCGTCGGCATCTTTCAGTCTGCTGCTGATCTTTATTCCTTCACTGTCTTTTTATTTTAACTGAACAATGGCATTGAACAAACTTAGTATTGATGCCCTTAGTTTGGCTGGCAAGCGTGTTCTTATTCGGTAAGTGGCAGTGGGAAATACTAAAGTTATTCACCTTGAACACCTGTCAATTCAGGTTAGGTTTAGGTGTCATTCATTCGAAAACGATTGATTCCATGATATCCAAGCGTATGTTGTTCAGATGACATCTAACTCTATAACTTGCTTTCGAGTGATACATTTTTATTCTAATTTAGCTCTTTACTTGAACGTATCACTTTTCATGTGTCCTCTTAATTTCCAGTGTCGATTTCAATGTACCTTTGAAGGAAGGCAAAATTACCAACAACCAACGCATTGTTGCTGCTTTGGAGACTGTAAAATATGCACTTAGCAAGGATGCCAAGTCTGTCGTCCTTATGTCCCACTTGGGGCGCCCTGACGGAAGCCGTAACTTGAAATACACTATGAAACCAGTAGCTGAAGAACTCAAAAAACTTCTAAACACGTGAGTATATTTATATACTCACTACCACTGTTTTTCTTTTTAAAGTGTGATGAATTAGATGTAACCCTTCAATATTCTGTTTTTCTCTAGTGATGTTACATTCCTAGATGACTGTGTTGGCCCTGATGTTGAAAAGGCTTGCGCTGATCCTGCCAAGGGCTCTGTTATTCTCCTTGAAAATTTACGTTTCCATGTTGAGGAAGAAGGAAAAGGAGTGGATGCCTCTGGCAACAAGGTAAATTAAACATTTTTCTGTTTGAATAAAATAAACGAAAGTATTGTAATTTGATTATTGTTTTATTCAACAGATCAAAGCATCTCCTGATGCTGTGAAAGCTTTCAGGGAATCACTTCGAAAACTTGGTGATGTGTATGTAAACGATGCTTTTGGCACAGCCCACAGAGCTCACAGCTCAATGATGGGTGACGGATTTGACCAGCGTGCTTCAGGATTTTTGCTGAAGAAGGAACTGCAATATTTTGCAAAGGCTCTCGACAATCCTCAGAAGTATGAAGAGTTTTAAATGCATGCCTTTAGAGTTAATTTCTTAATTTTTGTCAAGTTTTTAATTTCTTTTTAAAGTTTCCTTGTATACTACATGACTTTATTTCTTATTCTCTTTAGGCCTTTCTTGGCAATTTTGGGAGGTGCCAAGGTTGCTGACAAAATCCAACTGATTGAAAATCTTCTTGATAAGGTGTCAGAAATGATCATTGGTGGTGGAATGGCGTACACCTTCTTGAAGGAGATGAAGGGAATGAAAGTATGTCTTGTTTGTTTTATATCACAGTAAGTTGAACATAGATCTAAAACAGGTATATCATTTATCAGTTAATTTTTATCCATTATAGATTGGAACTTCATTGTTTGATGAGGAAGGAGCAAAGATTGTCAAGAAATTGGTTGAAAAGGCTGAGAAGAACAATGTGAAGCTTCACCTTCCGGTTGACTTTGTCACTGCTGATAAATTTGCAGAGGATGCTGCTGTTGGTGCAGCCACCCTTGAACAAGGCATTCCAGATGGGTGGATGGGCTTGGATGCTGGTCCCAAAACTATTGAATTGCTCAAGGATCCTATTAAGAGAGCCAAAGTGATTGTGTGGAATGGGTGAGGTGCACTAGTCCTCTTTATAGCATTGTTGAGCTAGTTTTGCTACATAGTATCTAAATACAAATTAAATTTTACCTTCCAGACCTATGGGTGTCTTTGAATTTGAGAATTTTTCCAAAGCAACAAAGGCTGTAATGGATTCTGTAGTTGAGGCAACTGCTGCAGGGACTGTAACCATCATTGGCGGTGGTGACACAGCAACTTGTGCTGCCAAGTGGAATACCGAGTCCAAAGTTAGCCATGTCAGCACTGGTGGCGGTGCCAGTCTTGAACTTCTTGAGGGTAAATATTACAAAATTAATTTTTGCCTATTACTCATCTGGACATTGTGTACGTAATGGAATTACAAAAAAATGTTTTAATATTTCAGGTAAGACTCTTCCAGGAGTTGCAGCTTTGACCAATGCTTAACTGAGGGTCTATCATAATTTTGTTTGCTTACAAACAGTAGAGCTAAGAATTAAAATTTGAAAGAGCGAAAGATGACCTATTGTTACGATAGAAACATGTAATTCGTTTAAAGATCTTTGTTTTCTGAATTGTTATCATGAGATTGTTCTAGTCTGATTTTTTTAAAACTTAAACCAGGTATATTTGATTTGGCATAATTTTTCTATACAAAGAAAAAGTTATGTTGACATTTTATTAAAATATTTATTCAATTCAACCTTTGTCTGTTTTCTATTTTAAGCAAAAGTGCAGGACAGAATTTTGGCATCTTAGTTTTATTTTGATCATACTGCTAATGAAGAATTAAATCCGTCAGTAATTTCTATAGTTGTAGATGTCATTAAATGAAAAAGTTCCCCCTGTCTTCCCTCCCAGGACCTATTGTTTGGTTCCTTGGCATCATTTACCACTTCCCCAGGACAAACAAAGTCAAACTGAGATAAAAATAATTAATTTCAGAGAATGTGACATACTTTAAGTCTTCAAATGCCGCTAAGAGAACAGTATTTTGATTTAAAAAGGCCGAGATCGGTCAAGGAAGGTTGAGCCAGTGCCTTCGGAGGGGCTGGTTGTCACAAACTTTCTTGCTTGTGGCCCGCGAGCTCAAAACCGCGCAAACTTTTGAACAATGCAACCCAGTTCCATCCAGGACTGCACAGTGCACACCCCGCATACCTAATTGGAAACGCTTCGCTCCGCCATTGTCCTTGAACCCCTCTTCAGTTCCAGCACTGTTCCAACCACGTAGGAGGGGTTCGAGGAGGACCGGGGGGGGG